TGTGGCCATTACGTTACCGAAATCGTAACTTGTAAATTAATATTTTACAATATTATAATATTTTAATTTTATATATATATATATATATATATATATATATATATATATTATATATTATATTACAATATTTTAATGTATATATATTATATATTATATATATTATATTACAATATTTTAATTGTATATATATTATATATTATACTTTATATTCTACAGATCATTCTTCGCGTCCTGATCTTTCGATTTCTCGTTGATTGAATCTTGGATCTGTTGCGGTGCTGATCGTTGTATCTTTCGGAGTATTTTTTTCTTTTTTGTTGTTGTAATTAGAATACCAGAATTGTGGCCATTGTATGTTCAAAGTTTTATTAATCGCAACTTATAAATTAATATATAATTATATATGTTATATACTATAAAGATCGTGATTTTTTGGTTTCTCGTTGATTGAACCTTGGATTTAGTTTGCAGTGTGTCTTTCGAAATGTTTTCTGTTGCAATTAGAATACCAAGCATTCCTGGCATCCATTACGTCGCCGAAGTTTTATTAATCAATTTATGAATTAATATATATATATATATATATTTATATATTTCTTTATCCATGTTATAAATTCTTTATATTATAGTCATCATATTATTCATATCTCTTTATATTATATTTATGATTATACGTTACAAATGAATAGCACTGATGACAATTTCTTTTCGCACGATAGTTTACACGCCACGGCAGTTCATTTATTTACTATCGAAGATTTCCGACAATTCTCGAAAACGAACGAGCAATTTCGCGTAAAACAGGTTAGCACAACGTATAAGAGGATTCCTTGGGAAAAGCGTAAACCACGCGGTAAAAAGGTTTTGAAAGTAAACCCGTCGTCTAAACCCGATCCCCCGAAATGCAATTTGCAGCGGATCTAGCGAGTCGCGGAGAATTTTATCAGCTCGGCCAGCAGATTCCCGACACGCTTTTTTCGAACCTTTGCGAACGATTCGAGAGAAACCACCTGCGTACTCGCGATCCAAAACAGCTGATAGCGAGTCTCGATTTTTAGACGCCGCGTGCGTGTTTAGGCTTAGATTGATCGACAGCCGATCGTAAAACCGGTTTTACTAATAAAACGCAGAATCAACGCTAAACCCCCGTTCGGTCAAATTGAATTCCACATGCTGAAACGAATTAACCTTACGACGATTTTGACGCGTAACAGAAAGGAGAACGCCATCTTTTTTAACGTCGTAAAGTGAAGTTTATAAAATAAGAAGGCAACTCCGTTTTCTTATAATTCAATGAAAATAAAATGTTGAGTTATTTTTTCGAACGTGCTAGAAAAGTCACGGTCGACTAATTCTTGCGACCTTTTTTCTTGAATTCTTTTCGTTTAAAAGCTGGAGCTCTTTGTTGCGACAGACCTCTCACTCCTGCCAAAGCTGAAACATGCTTGAAAGGATCTTGAGGAGCTTGAAAGTTATTTTTTTCGAACATACTGGTTCGAAATTCACGGTCGTGCTACAAAATTCTTGCAATCACTCTTTTTTTTTTCTTGAATCCTCTCTTTTCAAAAATGGGAACTCTTTATTGCGACAGACCTCTCAACTATCATTTCTACGAGGTCGGAGAATTCTTGAAACGATTTAATTAGAAAGTTATTTTTTCGATTCACGGTCGACTGATCCCTGCGACTTTTCTCCTCGAATACCTTCTCATTAAAAACCGGAACTCCTTACTGCGGCAAGCCTGATCAACTATCATTCCTACGAAGTCGACAAACGTTCGAAAGGATCTAACTGTAAGAATCCAATCAGATTGTTCCGAATCCGAGTCACTCGAACTATCTTGCCTAATATCGAAACGAGAATTAAGTTTCGATCACCGTTTATAATACGTTGTTCGAGGCAAAAAAAAAAAAAAAAAAAGAAAAGAACGAACGTGTATTATGATTTATGCCCAGCTGCGACCGCTGGTATCTCGATGTGACATTAGTTAACAACCGGCGCGGGTAATCTTGCGCAAGCCTCAATTAGACTCTCGATAGCACGGTACTGATAAGCGCTGCGAGCCGCGCGATCGGCCGATTTCTGCACTTGCGTGTCCTATTCACGGGCATTATTCGTATTTATGAACGGGCGATTATTCGTTGCCGAGAACAATGGGTGAGGAACCGGTCGCCGCCGATGAACGATCGGCAAGGATCAAGCTCAGACGAGAGACAGTTTGCGATCGAGCAAACGAGCCTTGCCCGGAGACGGATAAGAAGGAAATGCAATTTCACCCGATGAAAACGTACACTACGGCCGGTGTTGTTCGCTCGTAACAAATTACGAGCCGTTACACAGGGGCCAGGCTGTTACGATTTTATTGTTGCCCGCGCTCATTTTTCTGGTAATTGCTTTTTATAATTGCGGCCAGTGTCGTTTGGCTAGACTGGCGAACGGGTTTGCTCATGAGACAATTAAACAGGTTGGCGACGAATTGAAACGAAACGTGGTTTGCTTCACGTTGAAATTGCTGCATGGGAATCGCTTTCTCTCTCTCCAGCTGTTACGCGTAGACGTGGACGAACGCGTGATTTCAAAGCGATCTCGTTTTTTTTCCCGATGTGAAAAGTGAAAGGGAAGTCGTTGCGGTAAATTGGCTCGTTCGGAAATTATCAAATTTGCGCGTTCGATTGGAAAATTGCAGAAACTACAAAGTAGAAAGAATTTTAATGTAACATTTGTAAGTTTCTAAGCGGGAAAAAAGGTGCAAAATGACGTCAAAGATTGACCAAATTCCGAGGAGGTGAAGCTCCAACTCCGACGGGAAGAGCTACGAAAATAAAAGCAAGAAGAGACATCAAGTGGAAAATTCCAAAAGTGTGCTGAAAAGAGCGAAAGAGAAAGAGAGGGAGAAAGAGGGATAGGTGTTGCGGTAAAAAGGGGGTAAAAACTGCGACACCAGAAAAATAAGTTGCAACAACGAAGAAAGGCGTTAAACAGAGCAAAGAGAAGAAGTTTCGTTTAAGACAAGAGTTCTAACCGAACAAGTTACATAATACCAAGTAATAAAACAGCGCGAAACAAGGTTACGAGAAGAAACCCTCGGGAACACGAACAACACCTATGCCTTAAATCACCCGGCGAAAGTAACAGTTCTCCAGTTTTCACGTTTATCGATTCGCTCTAACCTAACTGATAAATTGTTAAATTTCGGTATTTGTCAAAATTTTACGGCCGCTGTTATTGACCTCTTGCGCTGGAATGACGTGCCACGCACGTCGAGAATTTTTTTGTCCCAAATTGCAACATTTTCTCAGTTTCAAGTATATTTAAATATAACCTAGGTAAAACAAATGATAAGTTTATTACTTCTCAATCATTTCTATTCAGCGATGAATTCAAAAGAAACAGAAAGCGACGAATTATTGTATGGTTCGGTTTGGTCACTCGTTATGGTCCGCAATCAGTTGCCAGCGCAACTGGTTAACGATGCCTATAAGTAACGTTCGTTTTCTGACACTGTAGAAAATTTTGTTTCATTTAAAAGTTAATACAGCTTTACTCTGTAATATAATTTAACAACAAACACACATCAAACTCAATGTATTTGACTAGAATGTAGGTCATATTGGGCATAACGTAGATTATGTTATAACATATTATATATTATATATTATATATTATAGAGTAACATGTTGTAATAAGTAAAATTATATATTTAGGTAAAACGAAATCGGCAAGACCAATGAAAAAAAAATTTATTACTTTTCAATAATTTCTATCCAGTGATAGCGATATATGTAGCGATGAGTTCAAAAAAAAGCGATAAATTATTTTATACGGTTCGGTCACTCGTTATGGTCCGCAATCAGTTGCCAGCGTAACTGGTTAACGATGCCTATAAGTAATGTTCGTTTTCTGACACTGTAGAAAATTTCGTTTCATTTAAAAGTTAATACAGCTTTAATCTGTAATATAATTTAACAACAAGGTTACGAGAAGAAAACTGACACTAAATGTCAATGTATTTGACTAGAATACACTGACACTAAATGTCAATGTATTTGACTAGAATATACTGACACTAAATGTCAATGTATTTGACTAGAATGTAGGTCATATGAGGCATAACGTAGATTATGTTATAACATATTATATATTATATATTGTAGCGTAACATACTGTAATAAATAAAATTATATATTTAAGTAAAACGAAATAGGCAAAACCAATGATAAATTTAATCAATAATTTCTATCCAGTGATAGCGATATACGTAGCGATGAGTTCAAAAAAAAAAAGCGATAAATTATTGTATACGGTTCGGTCACTCGTTATGGTCCGCAATCAGTTGCCACAGCGCAAGTGGTTAATATTACATTAATACGTACGTTGATCGAGTCGACCTGAATGCTTTGGATTTGCTCTCGATTTGCTCCATTATCTGAACGACAAAAACGTCCGAGATCCACGATGGCTGGAGGACTTAATCGTCAAGTGGTAAGAAGCGACCGGTGGATGATCTGGCGGAGAAGAGGATCGCGAATCACGGCAAAAACGGTTTATCATAAGGGTCGACCGCCACGAGAGGCACTTTTATCGGGAGCGTGGATATCCCTCGGTGGGACCATTAAGTCCCACGACGCAAGGCGTCGAAGCTCGATAGCAAGAAAGCACGTGTCTTATGCCATTTGGTCACGGAACGTGATAATCGCGCGGAATTCACGAATGGACGAGAGGTGGATGGATGCATCGTGTGGAAAAGTACCTGGCCCCTATTTTCACGTGTGGTTCACGTGTAATTTTTAGCACACGTACGGATACGTGCTCGTGTGCTGGATGTCTCGCGACTCGTGGTGATTCTACGTGGAAAAATGTGTCGAGAAGAAGGAGTAAAACTTTTTCACGAAAGCCTTGGAGTTTGAAAATTTATCGCGTACGTTTGAATTTAGCTAATTCTAGATGACGGAAAAAAAGAGAATAATTAGACAAGAGGTATTCTACGTACGAAAATAAACGAAGAACACAATTTTTCTGTAAAACGCCGCGTTTTCGAGAAGATGGAAAATTTCTCAAGTAACGAAACAGTTTCTTGAAAACGACGATTTTTGAAATGAAAAAAAATTTCATCTTGGAGTATCTCCTTGTCGATCATTTGCACTTATCCAGCGTGGAATTATGAATTTGATAAATTTTCAAACTTGATTTTCTCAAGAAACGAACGCTTGAACGATGAAATTTTACTTTCGACACATTTTTACCTGTCGCGGGACACCCTGCAATAATAAATATTAAACGATAAAGCACAGCCCATCGGCGAAATCTCTGTCGCGCTAAAAATAGTGCACCTGTAACGTTGAGAGATTCCTCGAACGTTATCCCAATAGACGTATTATCAATTGCTCTTCCTTATCAGTTGTTAGGTTGAGTTTCAGTCCACGTTCGCTGCTCGATGTTGGTATACGTTTAAAAAGCACGTTCGCGATGAAGGTTGAAAGTGTATTGTTGCGCGACGACAGGCGGAGGTGGAGAAGCAGAGTTTGGTCAAAAGATAGGAGGACCGAAAGAGGAAAAAAAAAAGAAAGGAAAAAAATAGGGATAGGGGAGAAGGGTTATTTGCCGCATGCCGGTGGAACGCTCTGCCACGGCGATATTAAACCCATATGATTTACAAGGGTGAAATTTGATTCGCTGGCGAGGAAACAACAGGCAATAATCAATTTCTCCGGGCAACAAAAGATATGGCGTTTCATTATAAATTATTGGCAGCCGGTAACCCAAGGCGGACACACATCGTTTTCGCCATGTGGATCGATCGCCTCCGATCGTCGAACATGAATTGTGATATTCCCGATGAAAGGTGCTAGCGAAACGTGTCCCGCCAATTTTTCGAAGGGTCAGCCACCTATCTGGTCCTTTCAAAAGTGGAAATTCTGGACACAGGATGTTGACACGTGTTCGTGAAATTTCTACCGCTTTTAACGTCGCAGTGACAGTTTGATGCGAATCGAATGAATCACGATTACAATTTTATTTTTTAATAAAACGCGAACACACGTTGCGTCTTTTCTTTTTTTTTTTTATTATAACTGGAGGAGGATGTTGGAGGAAAATGATTCGAACGATCGAGAAATAAGGTTTTCACTCAACTCCTCTTTAAATTATGCACATACTGATCTCTTTCCTCCAACATTTTGTTCTAATCTCAATTACAAAAGAGACATGACTTATTACACAAGCATGACTCACGTATGCATGTCACGGTGTATGATGCTGAAACAAGCAATATCATCTTGTCAGTGCAAATAGGACCATAAAATTCCTCCTACGGTTAACACACACGCGCACAACTGTATACTGTGATAAATCTACGAAAAATTAGGCCCGACTGGTATTAACTCGCTCCATTATCAGTGGCACAAGATAACCACAACGCCGTACACACGTCATGCGAAGCATGTCCCTCGCTCCAATTCTAATCTTTTATTAGTCATTCGTTTCGGTGACTTGTAAACCGTGACAGTTTAGGAAGCGTGGAAAAGGCACTAAAAATTCTCTTCCTCCTGTGTACATAGATAAAGGAAAAAAAAAAAAAGAGCTATAGAAACGAGGTAGAGCGACGACAAAATGGCACCGTAGCTCACTTTTTCGAGGCCTGTCGGAAACACCTTTGCAAGATTTAACAGCCTTACACCCGGGATAGTAAAGATAAGCCGAAAACCCAGCCGATGATGTATGTTTGAGAAATGCAACGGTGGAATTAAGATTTACAACGTCGTAATAAACCATTGTGCGTGGCTCGGGGGACGCATGCGCGAGCCTCTGCAACACCAAGGTCACAACAATTTTAAGGAGATCCTTTTCGAGTTGAGCGGAACATAATGAAGCTCGTTTGCCCGTCGCGGTCGTAAATATTTATCGGCAAGAGGAAAGAGTTACACAACGGGCAGAAAACGCTTTATTTACTCTGTGGCAGAGTCCGGAGAGTTGCAAACGTGCTTCGATTTACGACCCGCTCGTCCCGATAATTCCTCGCGAAGGTTTCCTCGGTGACGAGCTTCGGACGTTTCCAACTGGAAATCCTCGTCCTTCGTATCGCCGCGTGTCCAATTTGCGCACGGTTACCATTGGAAACTCGTATGTATTACGAGAGACGTATTTTGAAATCTCATTGACACCGCAACCACCTATCGTGGCACGTCTATCGTGATTGCATCGATCAAAGAAACCAGTTTGAAAATATGCATGTACGTAAACCAGTTTGCATGTATGTATGTATGTATGTACGCACGTAGCGAGCGAGAATATTACGTTTCCATAAACGTGACGTCAAGATAGATTAGATAGATCTTTATTGTTTTCATATTGGATAACAAATTTCCGCTACTTATCCCCCATACATGCTGCTTCTACACACATTCTACTTAAACGTAATTGCTAATATTAAATAATGGATATAATAAGCTAATCTTCTAAATACTAAATCTTTCAACTTACCTCTGGCAATAATCTACTATGAAAATACTTAACTAAGCTACTTATCTTACATATAATAATTATAAAATAGAATAACTATACGTAAACAAAATAAAAGAAAAGTCATGTGAAACAACATGTGATATATTACAATGACAATTCTCTTACATATAAATATGGTTCTTTATCTTTCGGACGTAAAGATATTTGAATTGTTTTACCATAATTTTATTTATATTTCGTACGATTGACAAAATTTTCAAATCGAGGAAAGAATAACGTTCCGCAGATTCGCTCACAGTTAGAGAAATTGAGCCAGCCGTAATTTTCGTGTATGTTTCACATTGAGAATTGAAAAATTGAAAATTGATCACTGTGTTTTATCTATCGAAAACGATGAAATTTTCGAGAAATATAGAGATATTCACTACCGAAATGACTCACGGTCATTCCTTATTCCAACGAGTCATTGTTTCTCGCAAAAATCTCTCGAATCATCGTAGCTATCACGCACGTGCATATGTTTTAGCATGCTGCTCAGCAATGGGCAGCGTCACGTAACTAATCTCGGTGGCTCTTGGTTGCTTTTCGATCGGTGATTACGTCTGTAACAGCCACACACACACTCACACACACACACACACACACACATAGAGAGAGAGAGAGGTATCGAGTTGGGTGGCAAACGTTGAAAAGCGGGGCGATCGTATTGATAATAATCGGCAACGGAAAATCGGCGAGGAACGGGCGTGACGGGTGTAAGCGTGCCAAGGTGATTTTCATTCCGTCCACGTTTGCCGTATGCGTCACACAGGGAGACAGAATGGAAATCCACGCGCAGGTAGTTAGGTAGGTATGTATATCGGTTTAGAAGCCAAGCAACGGGCCAGAGGGATCGCGTCAGAGCTCGATCGTTAAAAGGGGTAAAGCGTTTACGGCGCTGTGTGTTTCACCGGCCAGCAATGCGAAACAGTTACACAATTATCGAAAAACCATTACGTCGACATTGGCCGTCGACGATGTGCACACACTCGGCGGGGGATGTACCGGTGTGTACACCCCGATGTACATTCTCGTTCATAAGTATCAAGGACCGCCTGCTGGTTTCGTGCGAAACGATTCGCGCGAGTGTATTTTTCTGAATTTTATTTCTGAGCAAGAACGGGTCGAACATCCGACGACATTTACACGTCTTTTGAAAGAGTAGTTCGTAAAAAAAATCAAAGTACAAGCGACGTGTCGATGTCTTCGATGTTTCAACGTTACACGTTACGAGAATTATGAAAATGATGGAACTCTATCAAGATCGAACTAAAGGCCGAAAGCCAAGTAAGAAGACGATCTCGTTTGTATCAAATTAATCAGAAATTTGTTACATAGTCACCTCGAGCTTCTTAAACAGTCCTCAATGACTTTTAAGTGACCTTAAAAGTGTCACGGTACTTGTGAACGAGGATGTACGTGTAGTACTTACACAGGAGCGTGCATATATGTACAGGCGCGATTCACCCTTTCTACCAGCGCTTTTGCTGGTAAGCAGACGAACCCGTGATTTACAACTCTGGCTCCTCGTAAATATACGCGCGACGATATATCTTTCGAGGTTGTCGTGAGAGGGCAAGCACGCTTTTCGAATCCAGAGAAAGAGAGAGAGTTTCTTCTCTTTTCTCCTCCTTTCTTTTTCGCGGCTACTTCGCTTTTCTTCTTCTTTCTTTTATTTTCTTTTCGCCTTCCTTTCTCTTTCTCTCTCTCTCTCTCTCTCTCTCTCTCTCTCTTTCTTTCCCGTTTGGTCCTCGCGGACTCGATTGCGCGATGACTTACACGCTGGAACGAGGGGAACGCGACTCGATCGAGTTTACGATCATCGTAAAATAAATCAATAGACGCGCCCCTCTAAGCTCACCGTCATCCCCGATATGGCGCGATTCGGCTTTGTTCCTTTTTTCCTCCCTCTCCTCTCTACTCTTTCGCTTTTTTATTTCGGGTATATATCCTCGTGGCAAGGTATGTATTGGGACCCGAACGTGTAATGGACCCGAAAATTTCTTCAATTCTGTTCTTTTTATTGAAACTGCGATATTGCGTTAACGCACGGCTTTACTCGCCAATTTTGTCGCACTCCATTTGCTAAAATTCGACAGAGTTTGAGTTTACAGGGGTTTATAAATCATAAATAGAATTATAAATTATAAATAGGAAGATCAATCTTTGACAAGCCAAAGTATTAAGTAGATGTACTGCAAGGTCAATGCGAGTCTTTAACATTGGAACTAACGACGACTAAAGTATAATATTTGTAGCAAAGAAATTGAAGTGCAAGGTACAAGAAAGAATTAACAATACAAGGAAGAACACAAGCTTCTATTAATCACTCGAGTATTTAAAAATACACTGTCATAAATGTATAAAATTTCCATAGAGAATTATAAATTGGTCGTTTTGACTACTTTGGTAGTTCTAGTGTTAATTATGTTTCTTTTTTTTTTTTTAATTCATAAAGTGTGCTTTGACATAATGAAAGAGTTTGTAAATATGTAAAAAATGATGTTTGTATATTTGTAAAAGTTACAATTATAAGTTACAATAATTTGTAAAAGTACAAATATACAAA